TCTAGATTATATCTAGAAATCATTAATTAATGTTGTATATCATAATCTCACAGAACCAGGTTGAACCATGAATTCAACTGGTCCATATAGGTTATAACCCTCAAGTTTGGTTATAGGTGGAGTATTTTCAGACATTCAACTTGATGTGATATGTAACTAAGGTTCTTAAATCATTCATATTCCTTCTCTAAACAACTAGGAATGGCAATGGGGCGGATTTGGGGGCAAGGATTATATTCCCTATTTTTTATCCCAGTTTTTGTCTGAGATAAAACTTGTCCTCCATATCCAATCTCTAATGGATACGGTTTTCTCATAGGGACCCAAATCTCTAAAATTTTTAATATATATAATCGGACCTGGGGTGAGCAGGGCCAACTCCATCAAATCGGGAAGTCGAATACCCAGCTGGTACGGGGAAAATTGCCATTCCTATAAACAACTTATGTAGTGTATGAGGTTTTAAGTAGAATCAAGAAAACAAAGAAAATAACGTGTGATAGAAACACAAGATAAGAGGGAGTGAAAAACAAAAAGAAGTGGTGAAAGGGATGAAATTTGAAAATGAAGTATTGAATGATAATGAGTTTGGTATGTTTTGAAATTCGTGGACAGAAATGGGCATGAATGATGATAAGGAGGGATGAATAATAGATGGAGATATCCACAACTTGCAGCTCTAAAATCCTTTAAATCTCAAAACTTAAATACCAGTTGATACAGATGAACTTGGGCTGGCATTAATTGGGATAGATGGTATATGAGTATCTATAAGATATTTGAGCTCTGTGAATTTTTGAGAAGTGTGATCCAACAATGTGTCATCACAACATTTATTTTTTGTGACCCAACTCACCGTTCTTCTGCCACTAGGCCAACTATACTAATTAATTCTTCTAAAGCACCCACCTCCCCATCTTATCCTTTGCAGTAGTAGTATTATCAAATATATAAATAATAATAATAATAATAATAGATGAGGGATTGAATTAATTCATTTCTCTACATTTATTGAACAAGTTTGGGGAAAACACCTTGCTGTCACCATGAACTATTTGGTTCAAATAAAAAAGGAAAAGTAAAACTGAATCATTGAGATGTTTGGAATCCAACTCCTTTTAGTAAAGCTTGGAATCCAAACCTTGTAACTATCATCTACTTATTCTTACCAGAAAATGGACATTGGGTAGTTTTGACTGTTGTTACAAAAGGGGCATTAAAGAATATATATGTGTACATAGATTCACTATTTTTCTTTGCTAATTTGAAGAACATTATTGTTTAATTGTCCCTATTAAATTAAAGATTAAAGGGCAAAATTAATGTATGAATTATTTTAAGAAATACCATCTGCATATTAATTTCCTTCAAATTTCAAATTTTATTGATTAGTTATATGATAAATTTCCTATATGAAAAGAAAATGTAATCTCCCAAAAGGCCAGAGTAGAGTTGGTAAGGGAGAATTACTGGGTAGAAGATAAAAAAGAGATAAAACAAAACAATAAAGATGGAGAAAAGAGTCTTTAAATGGGGTGAGAGGGAATAAAGTAGCGGATAATGAAGAATAAAGTTAAGTGGGTTCATATAAAAGGACAAATGAAATAAATCCTTTTAGTTGAAAATTTTGGGGAAAAAAATGAAAAAGAAAAATGGGGTTGAGGCAATACAAAGCCTACCATAAAATCCACCAAGTGGGCATTGGATCTTTACTGCAATACCTTTATTACCATCAATTGGTTTAGAAAATGAATTTTTCCACCAAACAACCAATCGTCTGCTCAAGGTTTGTACAATAAACAATAGCTCAGAACTTGTCTTGACCAATAACAATACCCACCTAACAGTTTAAACTTTAATCTCTCTCTCTCAATTCAAAACAAACAGAAGTTTACGAAGAGGTGGTAATTCATCATATTAGGACTAAAAATTTTTCTGCTCAAATTAAGTCATTTCCTTTTCACCACCAAACAGCTAACAGCTTGAGCTTTCAGGATTATTGCAGTTGAGACTCAGTTGGGAAAAGAGTATAAATACAAATATGTGCAGTGCAAAGCCTTGTATTTAATATTTTTAAATCTGTATTTACATTTTGCAGTGTACATATTTATATTTGTACTCTTTACAAATTGAGCCCAATTGGAACAATCCCACCAATCCATTATCATTATCACTGCCTTTGTTAAAATTTTTCAAATTTACATATCAAAGTTATTATTTATGTCCCTTTTGTAGTGAAAAAATAGGGAGAAATGCCTTAGACCCGGCAAAAAGTGGACCAAACCCACGAAGGCAACCCGGAAGAAGTGGATTAGGGCCTCCTATCTAATGACGCAAACTAGAAGGCAGCATGACCCGGGTCATATCGGGTCACAGGTCACCTATTTTCAAACCAATAGTTTTAAATCGGTGTTGATTCAGACGGTTGAACCATTCAAACTATTTGAACTAGACCATCAAACCTGTATTTTTGATAAAAAAAAAAAAAAAACTTGTTGACTTGGCCAAAAACAGCTGATCCGGGCCCATTGACCCATCTGACCCATGGATCAGCGCTAACCTGAATATTTAAGGTTAAGGTCTGGCCTTTCCCGGCCCAACCCAAAATGACCTGAAAATGCCTTGAAACCCAACCCGACCGGATTGTCAGGGGCATCCTTCTAATATATTTTGACTTAAACGGCAATAAGACAATTTTTTAAGGGAGAAAATATAGTTCAAATATATTTCAGCCTGAAAATTTTTTCTTCCCATTTTACAACCTTATTCAAGGTTTTCGAACCATCATTGACCTGGATAGTTGGATGGTTCGGCCCAGGAACTGTCCAGGCAACCATTCCATTTTACCCCAAACCTGGTTTTAGTCAAAAACTGTTGAAAAAGTCAATCCATGGCCTGGGCGATCAAACCATTGACTTGTTGATTCATTCAATGGTTTTTGACTATTTTTTTATTTTTTTAATTTATTTATCAGAATGGACTATCCATTCGAACCAAACAGTCGGACCATTGACCCAAAAACCGGTGGCCAGAACAATTCCATTTCCAAGTTGTTTTTTAAAACGTTGACCTTATTTTCAACATCAGGGTCTTAATAAATTTAAGAGCATTGTTGAACAATTGGTAAAACTTAGCTAAAGAAGTTTTTTTTTTTTTTTTAAATTCAGGATCAGACGCTCGAGATTGACCAGAACTCCAGTGTTAAAGTCTTGGGTGGATGATTTCCTTCCAGATTCCAGAATATTATATTTAATTTCCATTAAGGGTGAACTGAAGTTGGTTTCGACCGGGTCTAATTCAAATTGGTCATGGACCGCCTAATCCAACCATGTGATTGGTTTAAAGGATCAGGGCCAGACCGATGATTGTTAAAGCTATTTTTAATTTTTATATATCCTCACCAGAAAGAATAAAAAAAAAAGAAAGAAAATATGGGGATCATGCATGAAAGCCGGTTGTTGGTAAGGCTTTGTCTCCAAAAGACTTGGGATTGAATCCTGCCTCAACTCAACTACCGGCTTGACCGGGTAGACCATATGACCCGGTTCGCCCAAGAAAAAGAAAAGCAATTTGAAATTTCTTCTAGCTTTCAGCCGTGGATTGAGCATGTATGGCCGGTTGAACCAAAGAAAAAGAAATTAACAAGCCGGTTTGGTGTTGGCCCCCAAACAGTCCCCAAAGAAGGGGCAGGAAGCAGGAAGTGATTGATGATTTTGAACAGAAGAGGAGGAAGTTTGTAACTCAAGAGACGACTGGCTTGCATAGATATATATATATATATATATATATATATATATATTGCATTTGCGTTATGCACATGCAACAGAATTATGGGAGAGAAGGGGAGAGTAGTGGTTGTGGGCTTCACCAAAATAAGGGCAAAGGAGGAGTGGGCCCAGTGGTGGGCCCTCCCTCTAACAACATTTCACGAGCCCTTTTTATCTTGTGCATGGTGCGTAATAACCCACCTAAACCGCGTTCATAATAATGTGATTGTTGAATTGAAACTGGCATCAATTTTTGTCTTCACACCAATTACAGATTCTTCTAAGACACCATGCGTGCTGTAGCCTCTCTCTCCTCTCTCTCTCTTAAAGGCACCCATACCCATCCTTGCGTGTTAAGTACCGTTGTCCTTGAATTGCAAAGGGCATCATGGTCAGATTGTTTGGGCTATTTTGGTTTAAGGGAATAAGTGAAGGAAAGGAGGGCAAGATGGTCATTTTGGGATGCTAATATGGCAATTTCCGGTTGAATAAATATTTGATATTTGAGGGATTTCTTCTTTTTTTTTGTAGGAATTGAAAGTTGGTTTAGCTCCTTTTTTCTGTTACCACTTGTTTTAGCAAGTCTGGCGCGTGAAAGGGGATATTACTGACTTGGGATCCACATTCACTCATTCAGCTCCAGACCCCATTATCATTCTTGCCCTTGGAAATACAAAATATATATATGTATATTTATTCTTTATGAGAATTGAGCACTAAAAGAAAAAAAAATATAGAAATAAAGCTAACTAATAATTATATTGTCTGAGTCTAGCTAGCTCTGAGGTTTACCCCCAAAAAAAATAATAATAAAAAAAAAAAAGTCTAGCTCTCTCTGAGATGCTTTTTATCATATTTTCTTTTTTCTTTTTACTTTGGAGGCTCTAAATCAACTACCCAAACCAACCATAGAAACTAATAATTAAATCCATGAAAGTTTAGATCCTGGAGGGCAAAATGGTCATTTTAATCTGCAAGGTTGTGCACAACTCAAACAGAAGGGATTTTCAGTCAACTTATTCATAAATGTTGATGTTTTGTTAATCTATTTTTAAGTCATTTTCTTTTCAAAATTCTTGAGTGGGGTCTCCCTCTCCCTCTCTCTCTCTCCCTCTCTCTCTCTCTCTCTCTCTTACACTCTCTGACACACTGCCTCTGTATGGCGTAAGCTTGATGCCTGATAGTGCAAGCAAAGCAAGCACCCCACTTTTTTTTATCACTCTCTCTCCCCTCCTAAAACTCTCTGTCCTCCTCTTTGTCTGTAAAAATCTGCTTTTTTTTCTCTCTCTCTCTCTCACCCCGCATCCCCTTTTCTGCTCTCACTACAACTATAAGCTCTTGTTTAGTGCTTCACTAGCCAAACACAGCAGCAAAACCCTCTTCATTTTTTTCCTCCTCTTGTTCCCTCTCACTCCTCTTCTCTTCTCTCCTTCAACATACATCTACATCTACTTGTTCTTTGTTTCTTTATTAATATTTATTATTATTATCTCTTTCCTTTTGAATTCTCTCTCTCTCTCTCTCTCTCTTCTTCCTTGTTAATTATCTTTATCCTTTAAACATCATGTCCTTGCTGCGGAAGGTGTTTTGCTTCGAGTTTTGCAGAGAGAAGCTGATGTTGGTAATCTCTTAAACTGTTTTTCACTCGTGGTAGAGGAAATACCCTTGTTGTTTTGTTTTGAATGTTCTCTCCTTCATGCCATTTTCTTCCTTCCCTCTTCATTTTTTTTGCTCTTTTCTAGTGGAGTAAGAAAATAGAGTTCTACTTGTTATTTATTCATCTTCTCAACCATCATTTTCTTTCTTTGGGAGTCTGTTGACTCTCACACTCTCTCTCTCTCTTTCTCTCTCTCTCTCTCTAGATATAGAGCTAGAGGTAGAGATATGATGAATAGAGAGAGAAGGAGTTTTAGCTGTTTATGTTAATCTTGTTTCCATGGCCACCAGCAATCTGCATTGTTGTTCAACTTCATCCAACCATTAAAGACACCAAAATTTGATTGTGTTTTCTCTTATCATTGTCCTTGGAGAAAATGAGATGCGTACTCCAACTCTAGGTGGTCTATGCTCTATGAACCTTTTGTTGCTTTCTTCTTTCCATGAAAAGGTTTGGACTCGTAGAGTCTACCACATCCCAAAACAGCTAAGTATCTCTGTCTCAAAATTCTAGATCTTGTTCTCTTCTTCCTCGACTCCCTAGACCAAAAAAACAATATTAGAAGCGAATCAAATTCGAAAGAAAAATAAATAAACAAATAAATAAATAAGCTCATGAAGTGGGTCTCCTCCACTCTCTCCTCTCGCCTTGTCAGAAACCTTTAACACCTTCGCCTAGCAAATTACTAGTCTAGCTACTTGTTTTGGTTCCTCGATCTTTCTTCTCCAACTCCAAACCAATGTGCATTAACTTGGGGTCCCTGGAATTTTGAACTCAAACAAGCCGCTATTTCTGATCATCATCATCTGCTTCAACTTCTGTTTGTTACCTTTTGTTGATCATTCATCGATCACCAGGACCCAGAAAGCTAAGCTAGTGAATTTTGTGTTTGGGTAATGGTGTGTAGAATCTATCTTTGTGGGGAGCTAGAGAGGAATATATAGGAAGCAGCAGACATCTGCTGATCAGACAAAATTAAGTAGTAATCTGGACTCGAGAGTCTCCTTCTCCTAGGTAGACGTCCAACAAGAATAATTGTTAAATTTAATCATTTAGGGCGCCTCCAAATTCTCTGCTAGCAGCTGTTCGTCTTCCTTGGTTTGGTCTCCAGAAAAAGAAACAGGAGTGATGGATCTTTCCGGTCATGACGGGGAGATTCCAATCCCAATAACCAGCAGCTATGCTGGGGGACATGGTCATGGCCACATGATCCATCATGAGCCCTCTCCCCACAACCACATTATCCCTTCTTCAGCACCCCAACTCCCTTCCAATGGCCCCATCCATCCAACCATGGAGGACCACATGCCCTACAAGAAAGTGATCAGGTACAAGGAATGCCTCAAGAACCATGCAGCGGCCATGGGTGGAAATGCTACAGATGGGTGTGGTGAGTTCATGCCAAGTGGAGAAGAAGGCACCCTGGAAGCCCTCAAGTGCTCAGCCTGCAACTGCCATAGGAATTTCCACAGGAAAGACATTGAAGGTGAGTCCTCTTCTTGTGACTGCTATCACCACCCTCATCTAAACAAGGTTGCTGGGAGGAAGGTCATTGTAGGCCCCCACAAGGGTGTGTTTGGTCCCGAAGCTTTGGGGTACCCCACAGGCACCTTAATCCACTCCAGGGCAGCACCACCCCACCAGATGATAATGCCTTACAGTTTAGGGTCCATCCCTTCAGAGTCTGACGAGCAGGATGGTGGTGGTGGGATTGTACCAAGGCCACCTCAAGTTGTGAAGAAAAGGTTCAGGACCAAGTTCACCCAAGAACAGAAGGAGAAGATGTTGGGCTTTGCCGAGAAGGTTGGGTGGAGGATACAGAAGCAAGAGGAAGCCGTAGTGCAGCAGTTCTGCCAAGAGATTGGAATCAAGAGGAGAGTTCTCAAGGTGTGGATGCACAACAACAAGCACAACATGGCCAAGAAGAATGCCCCCACTGCTTGAACTTCGTCTTACTTTAATTTGTGCTCATTAATTAATTCCCACCATCTTCTTCTTCTTCTTCTTCTTCTTCTTCTTCTTCTTCTTCTTCTTTGTTGGCTGATGTAGAAGTTTAGTTAGTTTTATATTGTTTTTTCTTTTCCTGTTCCCCAACTTCTCTCCACTCTATGTTCTTCAGCGTTCTCTTTATTCTTATATTATTGCTAATGTAATGTAGTTTAGGTAGATTGGAGTTTGAAAGAGTTTGAGTTGTGGTGATATCCATGTTTATCCAGTGCAGGGATTTATTGAAATATTTTTATTTCAGTCAAGCATTAATATGGCACTTTTCTAATCTTTTTCTCACTCTCTCTGAACTGATCAAGCAATCAAAGAACATAGCTTCTTCAACAATTGAACCCATCCATTTCTTTTTTCTCCTTTTAATTTCTTTTTTAATCCTTCCCCTTGATTAGGAAGTCATTTGCATATACAATTCTTGTGTAGATTCAAATTTTGGCTTGTTTGTCACTTTGTTGTACCTTTTCAGTTGATGGGTTGTTAAGTTGGGCCGGTCCCTTTATTTTTCTATTTTGAAATTTGAATTCTACCTAGATACTGTAGACTTGCTACATGCATTTATCCTGAGAAGAAGATGGGGCCTTTCTTTTGTTTTTTGTTTTCTAGTTGTTTCTAGTATCTTTGCTGCCTCTGGTATTATTTGGTAGATATGGTTTCCCGCTTTGTCCGAGAAGAGTGTTATTATTTGTTTATCTCTCTCTCTCTGTTCATCTTCTCCATGGCTCCTTAGTCCTTACCAACCAACCAACCAATAAATAAATCTAATACAAATAAATTGGGATGCCCATTTTGCCTTTGTAAAGTTGCTTAATTAGGTTCATGGTGAGTGCTGCAATGAATCTTAATTGTCACTAGTCCTTTGCTTAATTTCAAGGCATTTAGTTTAATTAGCTACAGAAGTTGCTCATTTTGATTCCTTACTTAAGCATGATATATAATAGTCTAGATTACTTGGATCAATCCCTACCTCTTTCCTTCCAAGTTCTCTTACAAACTTCATGACAAACATCAAACATGGACTATATATAGTGGCAATTTGGGTCAGGCCGGTGGGCATCCGGTTTGATGAAACTGGATTGAACGTTTGTTTTGGTCATGAGTGGAAGTGGGCTTAGCCCACCAGGGACCAGGCACGTTTTCCCGGGTCAGAAAGAATCAATTGGCCAAACCCAACCGTTTGAAATTTTGGTCTAGCAGTTCAAACCGGATTATCTGAACCGGATCAGACCAGCCATATATCCATTGCAATCTCTAGTCATAGACTAGTCATGGACCCCTAGTAGAATTCCTGTTTGAAACATCACATTTTAATGTATGGATGCCACTTATGCCTGTCTATCTCAGAGGAGACTTTAAAGTGGTAACAGTAGTTTCACATGCTCACTTCTGATGCGTTCAATGAAAGCATATTAAAGGGAAGCTAACTAGACCCCTAAAATACATTTAAAAACTATATATAATTCTATAGTTTCATACAAATTAATAAATTAATTAGAGGTATATTTGATAATTATTCATATATTCTTGATTAGGAACATCTCAGGGCTACATATACTTGATTAGGCCTACCTAATCCATCCTTTAACCGAAATCAAATCAGCCCCCCACAACGTCCCACAGCACATTCCCGGCGTGTACTAGGAGCATCTCCCGATGATAATATCAGAAATGATGATATCCCTTTAAACACAGCGGGTATGTGCTGTGAGACATTGTGGGGGACAATCTTGTGGGGGCTGATTTGAACTCCCTTTAATCACAATAATGATAAATGTAAATAAAAAAATTATATATATCATAACCATCAATCTCTTATACCAATAATCGGGTGTTCATTATCGATCATTTTTTTTTTCGTTAATAATATTTAGTGCTTCCAACGGAAAAACGTGATGTATAACAATCAAACCGTTCATCGATGATTGATTTTTGTTTTTTTTTCTTAAAAATATTTAGTACTTCCAACAGAAAAACGTGACTCTGATTTATTACAATGTATGTATGTTGATGTTTAAGTCATTAATGGACTGTATGGGCAATCTACAAGATATGGGAACTTAAATTTTTCTAATGATGTTTCCATCTACCTTCTGCAGAGTTGCACCATCTAAGGTAATGGTTACTTGGTGAAAGTGGGGGACCGAAAAAGGCTAAAATGTTTCACATTTTGGGAGAATGACGGATTTTACCTTGGCTATGTTCCACTTAGAGAAGGGTCAGAACAGCCAATTCACCCCTCATTTAATAGGTCTCTTAATTTGGAACCGTCATCTTCTGAACCCTATTTATTACACTAAAGGATCTATTAAATGGGCAATGCAGTATCTGAAATGACCATCCTGCCTCTTCTCCTCTAACCTCTTAGGGATCATCTGATAACAGCTGAAATGGCTGAACTGAAACACTTATTTAAGAGGCCTGTGGGAGATTGTTTGATAAGTGAAGTTGATGTTGGGTTTGATTCATTGCTATATATATATCCTCCATTTTTTTTTTATTTAAACATTTTTATTGGTGAAAAGACAAAATCATTCAATTCAGCCACAACACTACCCACAAGGAAGTAGAGCCGTACATCAGGAACATCTCAGTTTTCATGAGGAGAAAGATGTTCCAGATGCACGGCTGTAGTGCTTTGTGGGGTGGGTACATATATATGGGTATAGAAGAAGCAGGTCCCAGCTGCTTTGCTCTTCCTCCTATCAAAAGGACCAAGTTGGCTCGTCCCTACTCTATCAGCTGGAGCTGCTGGAACAAGACAGGCTGACCCATTCTTCCACTAGAATCTAGACAACCCCATATATGAATGGTACATGGGTGAGGGAGCAAAGTATAGCTGCCTGCTGTCAACCTAGTCGTCTCAGATCATTGGATTGCAGTGTTTTATCTATGTAGAACCCATTGTAAAAGCCAAACATAGGAGTCTGGTTCAGTTAAAAAACTCATGGAAAACACAAAATACATGTCAAATTAATAAACCCTATATTGCTGAACCAAATAGATCAGTTCTTTTATTTGTATCTTATTGAGATTAGTTCATGTGGTCTGTAGGTTGATGTATATATAGACTATAGTGATGTTTCCATTACAGAAACAGCACTCATTTTGTGATTGAATAAACTCCCATGGATTGAATGGTCAAGCACTGGATCAAGGAGTATATATGCAAATAAACAAATGGGATTGGGGTTATCAACGTGTTCAAACTAATGAGAAGATCGATCATTTCCGTAGAGACAAATCCAAGTAGGAACCATGTGCACAAAAGGTGTTTGATAAAATTGAAATGTTAAATATTTGATTATTTTTCTATAAACTACTCTTGAAAGCAAAAAACATGCCTTCTCACTTAGGGAGGACATTCGACCAGGTTAGGGTGCTAAATTTAAAGGAAGAAGAAGAAAGAAAAAAAAGAAGTTAGGGCCTTGATTATAGGTAAATGTAGGCACTAATTGATGTTTCCATACCTGATTTGTTTATAGCCATAAGCAATTGATTCCCTTTTAATTTCTTATTGTAAAGATATACTGCTGGTGGAGATTATAGTAGTCTTTGAATTCTTTAAACCTTGTCCCCCCTCTTTGCTTAATTGTACAATGACATATGTAACTCTTATTTGAACAACCAACCTAATGCATCTCCTCTCCTTTATCAGAAAGCAAACAGGCCTAGTAGGAGCTAATTAACAACTAAGAGTAAGAGACCCTAATTTAATATAACAGAAGGGATTGAACATTTGTCAACCATATATATATATACAGAGAGAGAGAGAAGAGGCATGCATGGTTTTAACTTTTAAGGAACAATACATCAACCACAACTAATCAAAAGTAGGAGAGTTATAGCCCAAAAACAATGCAGCTCAATTTGGAGGGGATTTAGCCAAAGAGGTCTAAATAGAACAGTTCACTCATGGGTGCTATATATGTCAGAGAGAGAGAGAGTCCAAACCACCTGATTAGATTTGGAATTGAGCAGGTAAACAGTGACTTGTTAAGAGTGTGATCCAAGGGATTATTAATTGAAGGGAGATGATCTTGGGTTCTTGTCCGGTGGCCTGCATACACTCTGGCAGTTTGTCACCTAGGATTGTTTGGTCAAGTTGATTGACGTGACTCTGCACGCCCTCCACACATATCTAGACCAACAGGGTTCAAGCCCAAAAGGACTTGTTTGTAGGTAACCCAAACAAGTGCTACTCTTGTCTTGTCTATTTTGGACTGCATCCATGTGCCTTTGCCACCTCTCTTGAGTCATGACTGAAACCTTATTCCAGTGTCCATTATATGCCTCAATTTCATTCCACGACAGATGTGTTTATAAATAACAAACCCCATAAGATGGCATTGTAGCACAAATGTGGCTCTGTCAATACAGCACCAACTGCTGGCCTGCCTGATTTAAGTACTTTGCCTTCAGTCACTTAAGTGGCAACTGTGTGTCAATTAGTTTGGAGCTATTTGTCATGTGTGTGCCCAACCACATAACTACAACACTAATACCTGCCTCCCTGACAAAAGAAAATGAAAACTCATAAATAAAACAAACACCTTACTTAACCCAATTATACATCCATCTTCTTTTGCCATTCTAATGCCATATCCATTGTTAAACTATAGTCACTTAACTCCTTTTCGATCTATCCTTTACCCTTTTAGCCCATTCAACTTACAATAAATCACTTCTTACAAATGTTACTAAAGGGCCAGAATGGCAAAATATTAGGGAGAAAGAAATGAATTCGTATTCCTTTAGGCTGTGTGTAGTTTGAACGAAAATGTGGAGAAAAGAAAGGAAAGATACGGAAACCATACATCGCGTGCACAAGTTTCTTTTCTTTTCATTTCTTTTCCTTTCCTTTTTCTATATTTTTTTCCTTCAAACCAAACACAGTCTTAAGGAAAAGAAGCCAATGGAGAGAATGCTCTTTTGGTCGGTGGATAAAAAATTAAACCACATTTCCTATGCATTATAGAATTAGCTTTGTCATCTTCTTAAATGTTTCAAAGGTAACATGGGTGAGTGGGATTGTTATCCACCCTAGAATGGGGCCAAAATGAACTCGTTGCCCACTGTTTACAGGATCTTCATTCTTAGCTTGAAAAGCACCCTGGGGCCGGGATGGGACCTATCTCTAATTGGGTCCCCCCCAAAAAGATGGTCGATCTGCCCTACGATGTTCCAGATCACAAATACAATTTGAGTTAAAAAAAAAAAAAAAAAAAAAACAAAGAGGTCAATATATATGAGATGAGCCTGATGATGGACAGTACCAAAGTACCTATGATCACTTATAAAAGGCAATATAATATGTCCGCCACTTGCACAGTTGGACCTTATGGATGTCCACAATCCCACCTACATGCAAAATATTTTGCTGTCAAAATTCTCAGCCTGTGCTGTCTACAGGGCCCTCCTTGCATGACACGTTCGTTTTTACGAATTCCGTGCAAGTGTCGAAGGCATGGCTGTATGGACTAAACGTGTCACATGAAGACAGCCCTATGGACAGCACAGTGTTTTCTCCACCCCAATAAGGGTCCCTTATCAATTGAAAAGGTCCCAAGGAAGTTTGCATAACACACCATGCAAAGATGTCTGTTGTCTGTTGATGGACGATAGCACTCACAGCTTGACCCATTGGAGCCCCTCAGCCTCTCGGGTTGATCATTGGCTTATGTTACAGATTTTTTGAGCCAATGAGTTACAAATGAACACTGACGGCCTGGGATCTCATATGTAGTCACAGGATAGGTTCTCCTGTGAGGGTGCTCCCATCCAACCCTAAAACAAAGATGGGTTAATTTTCGGATGTGGGGAGGGCTTAGAGCAGATGGGGTTCTATATGAACTCAAGATCAGACATTTTCCAACATGAAGCTGACTAACTCTATTCTTCAGTACTTATTTACCAAAACCCCTGCAACTGCAACTCCCCATTTCAATTCCTCTCTTCCATGCCGGCCCTGCTCAAATGGGAAGCTCAAGTGAAAACTAGTTCAAAATCTAAGTGTGGTTGACTGGGTTGGGGTTCTTAAACCAGAAGAACCGAGAGATGCTGTCTCGTAACAGTAAGACAAGACAATCATTCCATCTTTCTGTTTGTTTTGTGCTTCAAGCAATCAAACCATGTATCATGCATGCTCTCTTCTTATTCAAAATCCACGAATCCAAAAGATTGTGTTTGCTATTCCTTACACGAGAATATACAGTCTAGACCATCGATGGCAAACGCTTATGTTGTTATCAATATCAATTGATGCTTCTGACCATCTCTTTTCAGTACCGTGAGTCATCATCATATCTGAAGTAGAGATGTCAAACTTGGACCGGACCAGACAATTGAACCGATGACCCAGTGACCTCTCCGGACCCTGATTACATGATGGTTTCACAGTTGAAATGGTCAAACCGGCCAGTAAACCAATAAGACTGTAACCCAGTGAGCTTTATGATTTTCTGTCCAGTCCTAGCCAGACAACATTGATCTAAGATTCTAAGTATCGTAGAATACTAGAACCGCCGGTGGACGGTAGCATCTTTAGTTTGTGTACGTTCTGGCAATTATATTTGTTTCTTCTAACGAGGAAATGGCTCCAGCATTGTTTCTGCTTTCTTCTATCCTAAGAAATGTGTATATCACGAATTAGAAATATTAAATATCCCTTCTTTTATATCTATTATTACATTCTAGAGGGAGCCCCTTTTAAAAACTAAATTCAAAACAAATCCGTTGAATGGTTGGATCAGTGCATTCTGGTTTCAAGACATTACCTTCAATGAAGCCACAAGTTGCTCACCGAAAAGATTAACCTACAATAGATTAGATGGAGTGCTAGATATTGTAATAGCTATCTTTCTTGCAACAGTACCAGATTATCCAGTGATCAATGCCCCTTATGTCTAACCCATGAACGTTAGACGAAAGGCAACCAAATTACTAGCAAGAGGAAAACTAGAGGGCAGAAGTTCTGTTTTAGTAACTGCCTCTGGTTTAGGTTGGCAGCCAAACAGTACAGTGATTGAGATGCTTGTATGTTTACATTCTAACTAGTTTACTCATAATCTCAATAATCTGATTGCCCGGGTCTTGATCTAAGTATTAAAGAAAACTAAAGGAGCATGATTGATGTTTGTATGACTACATTCTAAGTACCAAGGTTCAGACCGATTCAGAGGGTGGAGGAACCTTAAACCGGCCCCCTGAACCGGATTTGAAAAAAAAAAGTTAAAAAATTAAAAAATAAAAAACAGTACCAATACTGCCCGATACACCTCCGTATCGATATTTACAACCTTTAACTAGTATGGATTTGGAGGGCACCAGAGCTAGGGGCCTGCCTTGCAACTGTATGATGTAGTTTATTAGTATGATCAGCAAACTGATGGCATAATAGTCCCTTCCATACCAAATAAATGGAATTTGATGCTTCTATCTCTGAATATATAATAAAATCCATGATTACTGTTGCTGATCCAAGGGGGAGGGGAACAAAGTTATCGGCCAATGTAAATGAATTTCCAATTTTCAGGTTTAATCAAGTTATTGAGGTCCAACTTCTGTATCACCAAACTTGACAGAGTTTCTTCGTGGATGATCAAGTAAATACACGCATAGCTCCTAAGCATGATTTTAGAGAAGGGCTTACCTCTCTTGTTCTTCAGTTTCTTTGAATCTCTACATGCTTCCACCCCAAGCTTCAACTAATTTGGAAATTCTTCCTTTGTAATAAGAACACAAACATATATATATGGGAGAACAATTTGTACCCAGGCAGATTTCAAGTTATACATAAAAAGAAAATTATGCTACTGTTTAAAATGTACAATAAAATTTGAGAAAGAATAGTTAACCGGCTGGAAGGTGCAGTTGACAAAATTGCGAACGAAGAGACTTGTAAGATCTTAATATATAGGAAAGAAACTCCCCCAAACCAGTGCTGTAAATTGATCGTGTGACACCTCAGATAAAATCAATAGATCATATTGAAGACAGGATACACTGTGAGGATCATCGAGCATTCCAGACTGCAGAGAAATCAGATGGCCTTATTCATTAAAGGAAAAAAACCATAGCGTCATGGTTGTGTTGTTTTTATGTGAACTCCAACTTGACCCCATTTCTCGATGTAAGCGTCCGAGTATCAAAAGCAGTCCAAGCACTTGGCAAATGCATGCATGAACATCAACAATCCAAGCATATTGCAGTTAATATAGCCGAGCTCGCCCAGGGTTGAGAAGTGACTCTGACATTGTCCATCCCTGCAAGAAATAAAATAATCTGGCAAATTCAGAAGAACGGCATTGCTAATTATTTCAGATACACTGATATAACAGCTATTATATGCTATCTGGGGAATTTGGAAATGGTGGACTGGATATGGACCTAACTTGGCTTTGTTTTGCACGAAGTGGTTGCTCTCAGACTAACTACGTTCTCATATTTGTCAGCCCAAGATTTTACCATTGCAACAGGACTAAAGGACTAAAGGACTAAAGGACTAAAGGACTAAAGGACTAAAGGAGGGGAGAAGCTATAAAGATTTTTTTTCTTTTTTGACAAATGAAAAGAGTTTGTAATGCTATTAAGGACTAAAGGAGGGGAGAAGCTCACAAAACCGTACAAAAAGTGTTATTGGGAATATCCACAAAAAATAAGAATATATGTATCGAAGCTTTACATTTCAATCATTTATTTAAAAAAAAAGGCTTTACATTTCAACGAGAAACGATGAACGCCCATTCACTCCTGAAACTGCTGACTTGAACACTATAGAACACCATCAATGCCTGGGCCCATCATATGACAGTCCATTCTATGTTTCTAATAATAACACCCAGAGTAGCTTCCTTGGGCCTTGGCATCAAAAAGTCTGCTATTCCTCTCTTTCCACACAATCCAGCATATGGTAAAAGGTGTGGAATCCCATAAAAACTTCCCCCTGGGTGAGAAGCAACTGGGTGAGAAGGTCTGCTATTCCTCCAGCAAGACAATAGGTCAGCTATCATGGTAGGTGACCCACTATCTCTGAACAGCTAATGAGACACCAAATCTGAAAAGATACAGGACGATGGAGCAGATTCGTAGACTCCGTACATAGGCAAAGTTCAGCCCAAATCCAAACTTCACCTCAGTGGATTATACGTGTGCTTGGTCTGGATTTTCCCTCAACCAGCAGCCTAAAAAAAGAATATGGCCTTCAATTGAACCTGCACACCCCATATCCATGACCATGGGAACTTAGGAAAGGAGCCAACCAGACCTACGTAACAGAACCTGGTAGAAAACAACCTGAATTCTCCCAAGTCCAAACTCCCATGTCCCTGGATTGAGGATCCAGATTAACATTATATGTTGGATTATTACTTTCATCATGCTATATTGATCTAAGGACCAAAATATGGATATATAGATGGTGGTCCTCCTAAAGCTTTCAAGTCTGCTGCAATGGTTTTATAGGTTTTCTTTGTTTATTTTCCTTTCTTTATTGATACTTATTATTTAAAATTATCTTCTTTTAGTGTTTCCTTCTGTTGGAGGTTGGTGGGAGGAAAGGGTTGCAATAACTATACATTAAACATGCAATTCAAGCTAACACATCAAACCCTTCAGTTCTTCTAACTTGCCCTAGATAAAACCACTAAGACCCCATTTGGCATCAATCTAGAGAATCAATTCTGCCGATTATAGAGATTCATTGGATGAAAATCCCTTTTGGGGCCAGTCAATTCTATTTTCTCATTCATTATTGGATGGAATTTTTTCGTTCTAAAGGCACAATTCTCACTAGTGAAAATTTTTCACTTCTAAGAATTGTGATTCTCGCTTAAAACCAATTCTTGCTACGTTACTTCATAAGTAATGAACACATGTGGACATATTACACGTACAAACGTGGGCAACTGTGTAATTTTACACCCAAATATGCATTTTCATCAAATAGAAACCCTAATATCTTTCTTCTCCTCCAATGGCTCTCTTTGGTCTCCCTTCTTCACAGGCACAAGAATCATATCTGTTATTTCCAGGTAAAGGGTTCTACACCTTGTTCTTTTTTTTCCACAAACACCAGTCCTTTCTTCCCTATAGCACATCCCTTTTTTCTTCTTCAAACATCTCAGGGCCTGCTTCGTTGACTCACATGTATGTTTTGTGGGTTCCATTCATTTCTTATTAGTCATATGTATCATACTAATTTTAAAATGAACATGTGTGACGTCTCTCTTTTTTTATGTGTTTGACAATGATTTAAACATAGTAGAGCACAAAGTGGACTTATGCTTATTAGAGTTTACATGGTTTTATGTATTTCTCAATTGGAGAATTGATTAGAGGAAACAGGGTGATGCCAAATGTGATTCTGATTTTGAGAAACAAGATTTAGATGACTATGCCAAACAAATCTACAAATTCTCTGGATGAGAATTCTCAGAATCCATTCTTTTTGGGAAGGATTCTAAGAATCAGAATTTTCAGAATTGATGCCAAACGACACCTAGTTCACACTCATACTTGCAGCGGGTAAGGAAGACAACATGGGAATAACACTATGACTCTCAGTCGAGACTTTTAGTCTAGGACTTCGGGATTCATTTATCCACCCAGTCATTACTTTTTCTTGTGAAGCTTTCCTTGTACTCAGATCCACCTCATGTTTACTTCCATTATTCTTAGGTTTACCCCAGTTAGAATATTTTTTATAAAAGGTAAAAGTAAAAATTCATTAAAAGAAAAAAGGAACAAAATAGAAGCAACAAGAGGTGTTAGGATAACACCCCAACAACAGAAGAACAAGGCCCCGGCAAGCTGTTTTTTTCTTTTTGATAAATAAAATCATCTTCCAGTATTTCAAAGATTGGTTACATGAACATCCCCTTAGAGGCACGAGGTGCCACCTCTCCAAACAGCAAATACATAAACTACAACAGAGATTACATGAATGTTGATGTTAAACAAGAGTTACAGTTGCGCCCAGAACAATGTTTCCCTATTTGTCCTTTAATTTTTCACTTCAAAAGCTTCGTCTTGCCCGTCCCCATCCTCATTCCATGCCTCTCCACCTTTTCCAACAACAGTATCCTTGAGATTCTCCTCTCTCTTGCTTCTTCCAAACGCTTCAAAAGCCCATCTAGCAAACTCCTCGCCACCCAAAAACATAGGCCTAAACCCCTTCCAACCCTAACATTCCTGTCTGCTAAACTCTCAATCTTTTCTTCTAATTTTTTGAAGGATAAAAAGAAATATTCATTAAAAAGGAAAATTAATGACAACATGAAGGTGATAAGATATCACCTAAAAGAGGGACACGACCAATGGGCCCAACAAACAGACATCAATACCTCTAACAAAACCGAATAAGCAACCACACCACATACACACCAAAGACTGGACAAACAGACTTGAACAAAAAACAAAAAAGCCTTCAAATGCCTGGTACAGGACTTAGTCTTCCTCCACGAACTCGCCCTCCTAGTCTTAAGAATCCTCGTTCCGAGCCTCGCCTCCTCTCCCCAATGCTTTTTTGTTCAGTTTCTCTTCCTTTTATACTCTGTCAAACTCCTCAAAGGCACTCTTGGTAAATTCCATACCATCCCAAAAAAACAAACCCAAACTTTTACTAATCGTGACCTCCCTATCCACTAATTTCTGAAGAGTCACACATCCCGAGTCATTATCCTTAACCACATTACTTTGCACCTTCAGAATCGTTCCAAAATCAAGGCCAACACCGCACTCCTTGTTGTCTTGAATCTCCTTCCCCATGTGGGAATCCAAAGGTTGATCCTTCATTATCGCCCCCTATAATCTGCTCTGGGAGTAGAAATGCCTCTCTTGCCTCTTCTCTTGTAGACCCATTTGTAGTTTTTAGTAGGTCCTACCCCCACCAGACTGGGCTTCATCTAGTGATTTAAAAGGCAGGCCTTAGATGCGCCTAGGTGCATAGGCGAGGCACATTTTAGGGTAGGCGCCTCGCCCAGGTCCTAGGCACAACACTTTCAAACGGCACACACCTGATGCGCTTTGCTCCTTAGCTTAAGTGCGCCTTTTGAAAATTTTTGACTTTTTGCTTTTTTTGAACCTAGCGGCTGGGTTCGCGAGCAAACCGAAGCTTCGAGAACCCCCTATTTGCTAATGTTGTTCATTCATTCATCTTAATAAAATATCTTCTTAAAATGCAATTAAAATTATAAAATCATTATTTTTTGTGTGAAAATTAAGAATTTAAGACCCTAACATGGACTTGTTTGGGCTTCCTCGAGGGGCGTGGCACAAAGGCGGCCCGTAGAATCAGGATTGTAATATGTTTTACATCACATTAGCTACTTGAAGTAATGCAATTGAGGAAAAAAAAGAGATTGTGGGTTTTACATGCTTGAAAATGTTTTATATGTTTGATTTTATTTTTAAACTTTCATTTGAATATGCTTTACATGTTATGTTTATGTATTTTAATTTTAGATAATAGGTTTTTTCAAACATTTATTTTAAAATTTAAGTTTATATTTTTATTAATATTATGTTTAATAAATTTTTTGATTTTTTTTGCTTTTTTTTTAATTTTATAACATTTTTTTATTTTTTATTTTTTGCCTCTTCAATCCGGTAAATACCTCTTTTTCTGCTTCTTTGTTTAAACTTAGCTCCTCTCCTATAACTACCCTTAGAAAACTATGCCCAACATCATTTCTACCGCTCCTTAATCTTGGTTTTAGAAAGTGATCCCCACTCCCAAGGCCGATAGCTTCATTCAAAAGTCATGGGTCAATTAAATCTTCCAATTAGAATCATCCTAGTCCGGCTGCCGGTGATCAATCATTACCTCCTTATGGACATCCTGCATATTGTTCCTCAAGGTTCTTGTTTACTTTTAGAATTTCGTCCCCTCTAACTTGAGTATATGATCTTGTTAAAACCACTTTCCTCATTAGATAGACAATGAACAAACACAGAGGTCTCCAAAATTTGTTCTTCATCGAAGAGCAGATCAAAGTTGTAAGTTTTTTCTCCCATCTCTACAAAGTCAATATTCTCCAAATTGTCAATCCCCATCTCTAACTCCTAACCATCTTCCTCTTCCTCCAATAGTTCATAGTCTATCCAATCCCCGACTTCCATCTCGTTCTCCTCCAAACGCGTTCTGAAGTATCTTGGATTTAGACAATACATCATCTTTGGCTCCACTTCTTTTCCTTTAGAATTTACCTTCGGCACTCACTGAAAATTGTCTCTATGAGCTCTTTGAGTTCTCTTTCAAGTACACTTGTTTTGGGGACAATGTTAGACCCAATTTCTTGTCCCTAGCCATCCATATTTGACTCTCCCTCGTGTGACTATTAACAGAGTCACATGGGCTGGCCCATTTTACATTGCCACCTCTCCAGTTCAACCCCAGTCTGCCTTCCATCAGGTTCCCAATCAGTTCAAACCTTGTGGGAACCAATTTAAAAACTTGTGGTCCCCGAGTCAGTTCAGATACCACTCCCCTCTTAACCACCGCAGAAAAAGAGGGCCCCACCTCCTTAGTTTTGTCAAGTTCAACTTTATTTAACTCTACTTCTTTTTCTAAATGGTCAAAACACAGATTATTCAACTGTTCGTCTTCCCCCTCGGCTATTGTGTCTTTTCCTCTTCTCCCTCAAGCCATTCCTCCTTCACCACGTAAGCCCCCAGAATCCAACTCAGCTTTGTCTTCCTCCTTCGAACATCCCTTCCAGAGATCTGCTTAAACATCTGTCAACACCTAAACCCTCCTCCACAGGTTCTCAGAGAAGATTGCCAAGGATCGTGGGACTTCCTCTGGTTCAACAACCTGGATCCTTGCCCTAACTGCCTGCAGATTGTCGAAGCAGCAATCTTCCAACCTCCCATCCATCACTCTAGTGATTCTATCCAGTTTTATGTTGAAGCTTCCCACTGTAATGTTCTTCTTCATTGCAAGACATATGCCAATGTCCGATGACGACAAGTCTGTCTTCAGTTTCTATAGTAGAAAACTCCACAGGTTCATCACTGATATCAACTACGGCTCTCAATTTACTGAAAGATACAACCAAAGCTGATGATTTGATCCTAAACTTCTCCACTATCAAATTAACAATTTCTTTCCAGTTTTTGGTTTTCCTTCCCTCTTTCAACACATACCTCTTCCGCCATATCCCTTTTTCTGCTTCCAATTCCATTTTGTGTGAGTTCAATGAACTTGAAATGACCAACTCCGGTTCCTTCTCTGCTTCACCATTTGAAACTGGAAACTCTTCATTCTCATGTTGAAGTCATCCCAGACTTGTCTCCTCTTTTCTTCTCTTGTCAGTGAATGCCTTGTTTTCTTATTTTCTTCAAAGTAAATCAAGTAATCTTGTAATAGGTCCACAAATTTCCTCCACCCTTCACTTCCTTTTCCTTCTGAAATGCAGACTGCCTGCTTCCTGCCCTCCCAAAAAACCTCTGTAACTTCCACGAACCACCCTTTCCCATTACATTTTGGTTCTGCTGTATAATTCTTCCTTACAACCCCCCAGCGGTTCCACCAAATCTGCTTCACTGAGTAATTGCTCCATCCATAAATCCTTTCAGCCAAAGTGTTGATTCTCCGAGGAAGATTGTAGCTTTCTTCTCCTCCCCGGTCTTAAGTGATCCCTGTCGCTCTTGCAATCTTCGAGCATAAATTTCTTAGCTTCATACTCCATCTCTCTTCTCCACTTCTTGGATGGCAGAAAAGATCGCCTCCTCACCCATCACCCCCTGTTGTGTACTATATTTTTTACCTAGTCCTCTACTTTGTCATTCATTCATCTGTTCTAATCTTTTTCACAGGGTTTTTATTTCAAAACCTTAATGGAATAAGATTTATTTTTATTTATGTTTTATGTAGGTCAAAGAGCCAGTGTATCTGGGTTCATTGAAATGGGCTAAGAATGTGGTAAAATCTGTTTTTCATAATTCTTCTTATAAGGTGTCTTTGGAAGAAACTATTTTCTGTTTGTCTCTTACTTGGATTTTTCACGAGTCTTTTATTGCTGTTATAGAAAGTACACAACCAGGGGCTTCCTGGTCCTTTTGTTTGTATTGTGACGAGACAGAAATAACAGAAAGAGGCTCACACCTCATGCTTTTTCTTTCTCCTTCAAACTATGTGATGACAGAAGGGTATGATACCGGTAGAACTTTGACTAATCAGACCCCCCACCTCCAAAAGTGAATTCTGATGAATAGCAGTTGATTTGTTACCACTTTGATACTGGATTACTAGTTGATTTGATTGGTTATCAGTTTTTCAGGTTTTGTGACCCATACATCCAAACACTAAATTCACAAGAAAAATAGACATGTGATACACAGTCAATTTTGATCTATAGCACTTGTTTCAATTATCAACTGGAAAAGTATAAGGTGTTCTGGGGTAGATGTGAAAGATAGTTTATTCATCGGCAACAAATATCTTTCCATTGTTGTTTGATCCCCACTTATAAAATTGTGATAATATGATAAACATTAAAGAAAGAAGAATCAAATCGAATTATAAATCATAAGATCATTTCTGTTTCTAAAAACTTGTTAGAAAATAAAGAAAATATATACTAAAAACTGGAAAGCAAGTCAAGTAAACCAAATTAAGTTACTAAAGTTCTGAAGTTCTTGGTAATTCTCGCAATTTATAATTTCTTTTCCTTTTGTCAATTGGGGATAGAGCACACAAAGACAAAGGTTGCACCTATGATGCCCAAATACAGAAATGGACACAGACACATGTGTGGGAAATGGAGATACGACTCTCCATTTCATAAAATCCTGGACACGGATGAGTATGGATATCCCATGTAATATGCTTATATCTTGCCAAATTTAATTAAATATCTAACATGTGATATCTTTTTATAGTATACTTTGTTAAAACATACCATTTTACATATTTTAAAAGTTTCACGTTATAAAATACATCTAAAAATGTGTCACAGTATCCAGTATTGTATCCAACAAGTACAGTATTAGACACCAATACACTGATGTACAGGTATCCTGGTATCATAGGGTTGCACATGCTGTTGCAGAACTGATCTACAGGCAGGCCTTATTCATCAATTCAGTCTGTGCAACTCATTTTTATTCCATATGTTAGTATGTTTCTAGAAATTACAGCACAAAAAACATCCATGACAACATCCGTCAATCAGCTATGTAAATGGACATGTTGATAAACATAATATTAATGTTTTGTATGTACCTGTTCTGCAGCTTTCCTTTTGAAGAGGCCAAATGAAGTAGAGACCATCTTGCAAGACTCAGCAATATAAGCCTCGAGATCAATATTTTTAGGCATGGAATGACAGGTTGATGAGGATAAACTAGAAACCAAACTATCAGATTCACCATGACTCCTCAAAGAAGACCTTCTTTCATTTGATGAACGGATGAAATGCAAAAGCACATGAGCCTGTAAGACCACATATTAGCAACAACAGTCTACAAATGATAAAGGGATTTTCCAATAGAGGTGCCAAAATTCTTACATGGAAAGCAGCTTTTAGAATGTCATCAGATTTTGCTTTGTCCTTGAGCAATGCATATACATTACCCTTTGAAGGATTATATGTGACAATGTATCTCTCCTTCTGTCATAAGAGTAAAAGTAACAAACATATAAAGTATAACTCCAAACGAAGGGGGATTTATGCCACTCACAGATTCCAATTTAAACATTGTGAAAGATGCAGGTTAATAAATTTTACCTCAAAGAGAGGCTCTATGGAAAGAAATGAACCTGGCTCTTGGAATGCATCCTTAAACCTCGAACCTTCCAAAAATTACAGAATTCCAGTTTGATCTTGGGATACAGTTGACACAACTATAAATATCAGAGCTTAATAAAAGCAGTAAATATACCTAGAACTATAGGCTTATCTTTCGACCATGGGAAACTGAAGATATTCTCTGTCATGTTCCCCTGCTGCAATGAAGGCACATGACCTACAATATTGAACATAAATAAAGTCATCAGTCAACAGAAAAATGAATTTGTTCTCCTTCCATATAGGACATTGGCCCAACCTACAGGCATCACAAGAAAACCATAAAATGTGAGAAAACCACATTTTCATCATTAACACTCAAGGCTAACCTGTCTTAAGGAATGAGTCCACTGCCACAGAGAATCTTGCACGATTCAAAGTATGTAACACGACAGACTTTACCTGGCCAAAGAACAGGTCTCCAGCAATTAGTGACTCACTAAATATTAAGGAAATGAGGAAACTGAAAATTAAAAAAAAAAAAAAGAAAAACAGAGAGAAGTGGAACAGAAGACACTAATTACTGAAGAGCAAACCTCTTGATAAGAGCTGAGAACATATCCACATGAGAGGAGTGCAAAAGTGGTCACCAGAGATGGATTTCTTTTCGAGATCATGATACTTAGTCCAGTTCCCAGCTTCACACGACAGAAATTCAAAACATAGGCACTTCTATTAGCTTTAATGGGGAACCATCTCATATATACTTACAAATGTATGTACATATAATGCTTAAACAAGGGGGAAAGGCCAAAAGATATCAGGGCACATCCTATTTTTGATAAACCAGGCACTTTCTTAGTGAGAACTGAAAAGACAAAGCAAACACTGTTGGTTATAATAGAAGTCAAAACAAGGGGGTGTTTCTTTCTTAGAGTGCATGTAGTCTGTGTAATGATTAAGGATGTTCCCCCTTTATCAAAAAATGGGATGTTACCAACTCAGTCCCTCAAACAAGAGGGTGAAATAAATAAATAAATATGCCATTCTATGATCCACAATGAGCATGGTACACCATATACTATTGAATTCTTTATTGAGAAAAGTAGCATAAGTAGCTCAAGTTAATAGATTAAAAAATATGACATCATATGTGGTGAATAAATATATGGACAATAAAGAAAAAAAACCATATGCTATATGATCTATCCAATGTACATAAAGACAAGCACGCGCGAGTAAATGCAACTACAAGAATATAGAAAACTGAGGAATAATAGGTTGACAACAGATGCAGAGAATTTTTTTCATTTTTTTTCACTAAAAACATTTGATAAATTTCAGTTCAAGTAACATTTTCAATTCTACACCTTACACTTTGCTAATCTGCAAACAAGAAAACTAACAAACCAGAAAAGTAAAAAAGAGAACAAGTGAAATTAAAAACACCAAGTTCTAACATGGTTCAGCACAATAGTTTAAATCTATGGAAGAGAGCACAATAATTAGATGAAATTTATTTCCTAATTCTAACTGTATCAGATTGAGATATAGAGTAGAGCAGTAGGAAGAAGAAGAAGAAAAGGAGAGAAAAGATGGGTTCTTCTATTAAGGACCATCACAAAACAATATTTTTATTAGGTTAACATATGTAAAGGGGAAAGACATAAATGCCTCTATATAATGCAAATAAATCTCCTAGAAATACACTCATAACTCAACACTTCCCCTCAAGTTGGTGCAAAGATATAAATCAAACCCATGTTGCTCAGAATCTCATGCAACCAGACCTTGTGGCCTTGTGGATACCTTTGGTAAGGATACATGCAGGCTTTAACTAAATAATGATACATAGATAAAAATCTAGCCAGTAAGGAGCTTCTTTCAAATAAAGAGATAATCAACTTCTAAATATTTAGTGTGATCGTATTGAAATCAATTATGAACAATACTTATAGTTGTCTCCTTGTCATAGCATAAGCTCATAGGCCCAGCTGTAACAAAACCCAGCTTTGTAAGAAATGCCTTGAGAAATAACAATTTACACACTTCATGTTCCATAACTATAAATTCAGCTTCTATGCTAGACTTGGAACCGAAAGCTATTTCTTATTGTGCCAAGTAACCAACAGTATTGATCCTGCAGTCACCATTATTATATGTGTGAATAAACCCTAGTTGTTTCTAGGTCAAAGTAGAGAAGAAGAAAGAAGAAAGAAAAGAGAAAGAAGAAGAAGAAGGAGAGGAGAGAGTGTTCGGCCAGACTAGAAGAGAGGATGTTCAAAAGTACCTCTCCTAGCCGACCCACTTGACTTTTATTCATGAAAAACTTGAGTTACAAGAAAGACAATTTTGTCCCTCATAGAAGATGGGACACATAACTTAAACTCAGATACAATAAACATTTCACTTTCAATAAGATACACCAGAATGACCAAAATACCCCTGACTTGAGCATTCTAACACTCCCCCTCAAGCTGGAGAGTATATATATATAGTCCCAGCTTGTTACAAATGTAATCTATTCTTCCTCGAGACAATCCTTTTGTGAGCTCACATGAGATGTAGTTATACCCCACTTATCACTTTCTCTCTCACAAAGTGACAATCCACCTCAATATGTTTARTTCTTTCATGGAAGATAGGATTGGATGAGATGTGAACAGCAGCTTGGTTATCACAGTATAGTTTCATGGGTTTGTCAATTGAGAAACCCATCTCCTGT